TCCAAAACCTTCACGTTCTGCTCGTACGTTTGCACGCGCATCTCCAAGTTTTCAATGTATTCACCTTTTCGCGAAAGTTCTTCTTTCGCCTCCGTTAATTCGCAGGTTGTTGGGATCATAAGCTTTAATTCTATAACAATGAAATGTTTTTATATTGTTGCCAGATAAATACTATTGGCAATTATTTGTTGAATAAACAATATCTGACCTGCTTGAAGAAACATTATTACAGCATCCTTTTTTTCTTGTATCTCCTTTGCATGCTTTAAACGATCCTCAAATTCTAGAAGCTTATCATTATTCTCGTCCAGTAACTTCTGCAGATGTTCTTTCTCATGTTGACAAAATTCTAAACTTAAGTCTTTCATTTGTAGCCGAAGCTCGCTTATACTTTCCATATTGTGCTTCAGTTCAGCGAACTTCGCGGCAGAAGCATCTAAACACTATAAGAAAAACGCAATCCAATAGAATCAATGGTTACTTTTCATGGCACTTATATTTATTTATTTAAATACCTTCGACTTAAAATCACTCCTCTTTAACGCTACACAAAGATCTATCTGCAACTTACTTATTGTTTCTTCGTGCTCGTCTTTACACTACAAAACAGAATCATTAAACATATATGTATAACAATTATTGTACTATCATATGTACCTACCTTTGAGATGTGACTATTAAAATCTGCTTGTAGGATATTCAGTTTCTATGAACATAAAATAAATATTTAAAAAGTTATGAAAGTGTCGATTGTATAATCTTAAGACAGCGACGAGATACATACTTCCATACATTGATTGTAGTCATCCTTAACGTGTGAAAGTTCCTCTTCAGATTTATTCAAATCATTCTTAGCATGTGAAAGTTCATTTTCAGATTTATTCAAGTTATCCTTAACATGTGAGAGTTCCTTTTCAAATTTATTCAATTGTTCCTCGTAACCACTGATTTTAGTCTCTAATGTAGTTTTAACATTATCACTATCTCTCAACGTTTCTTCAAGTTGTGTTTTACTGTCTCTGATTAGAGTAAGCTGCTTCTGTAACGACTCATTTGATTGTTTGTATTCTTCTATAACTAGCTTATTTGAGTTGCTTTCATCGTCAAGACTTTCTAGTTTTTGCTTCAAACATAATATTTCTTGTTCCAGTTCTTCCAACATCTTAAAAATAATGTAATTATTGAAAATGTTGAAAAATTAATATCGAGATGTTATTACTATTCTACATACCCAACATTTCTCTTTATGTTGTGACTTCAAATCATCATATTTTACTGTTATTTTTTCTAATTCAGCCAGAGCGACATCGGACTCGTTATATTCCTCGATGAAACTTGTTTGGGTAATTTCTTCAGTTGTAGTACTTTCAATAGTCTGACTACTCTTATTTTGAAGTTCACTTTCAATACTATGAACCTGCTCTACTTCTGCCTCAGTGTGCACTTGGCATCCTATCTCAGCTGTTTCTATTTCGATTTCATGCTGAACAGCTTTCTCGTTTTCAACTTTAGGTTCTGTACTATTAACTTGCAACTTGCTTATTTGGTCCGATATACTCTTCAAATCGTAGGATTTACCAAGCACCTATTACAGTATAATTTATAATGTAAGTTACAGTTTACAAGATTATTTATACTTTTTATGCAGTCAAAAAATAGCATACATCGTTTTTACATTCTATATCGTTTATAATGTTCCTAGTCAAGGCTGTCTTCTTCAGAAGTTTAATTTCATCCAATAGTAGTAGTTTTTCACTTTCGAATTTGCTTAGTTGCTCTTGCATATCTTGCATTTTATTCTCATAATCCGTCATTTTCTTATTCTGACTTTCTAATTTATCTTCTAGTACCTCTACAGATTTTGTCTTCTCTGTTAAACAAATACTCACACTCTCCAAATCTGCTTCTAACTCATCTATTCTGTATTGTTTCTCAAATAATTCTTCTTGTTCCTTAATGACATATTCTTTCTCCCTTACTTGTGTGGTGATTGCAATGTACTCTTTCTTTGCGTCATTCAAAATTACTTTTAATTTCTGAAATATTGTTGTTATAATATAAAGAGAAACATACAGAATACAATAAATAATCAAATGTGATTTGAAATACCTTCACTTGTTCTTGTTTCGCGAATAACTGAGATTTTAATTCCTCCACGTAAAACCCTGAGTCTGCATCCAAACAAACATCTTTTTGAGCTGTGCTCAACAAATTCTTCACGTTTTTCAAGTCCTCTTTTATCATGCCCAATTCGAAACTCATTTTATTCTTGTCAACAGTCAAGGACTGATTTGACTCTTTAAGTTCTTTCACGCTACTCTTAAGTAATACAATCTTGGATGTTAAACGAGAATTTTCACGTTCCAACTCTTCCATATTTTTTAAATCGTCAGCGTCGTTCTCTGCATTAGACGGACGCTTCCTCTTACGACAGCTAAGTTGATCCAGTTTTTGCTTAGAGAAATCTTCAACTTGTTTCACAGACCATTGAACTACATCTTCTTGCTGTTCCTCCACGTCTTTTATACGATTCCTATATCACAATTAATGGTATAATTATAAAAATGTACTACTAATTGCAAAGATAAGTTATATGACATGACAAGCTGAATTAGTTGCATACAGAGTTATCATAATCAATGAGTAATAACATACTTCCATTCCACTTCAATCTCTTTCATCATAATTGTGTAAGTATCAGCCATTTCTTGGCGTATCTGAAGATCCCGAGTTAATGCAGAGCTCTTCAAACTAGCAATTTCTTTTCTCAAACTTTCGTTTTCATTCACCAATTCATCATAATCTTCAGCTTGTACATAGCCGGACACAACATCATCCGCCGTGTTGTGACACTCTGTAAAAATATCATAAGAATATATTGAACAGAAATATGTTTAAAAAATATAATTAACTGTAACTGTAGCATATGCAATTACATATATACCTTCACTTTCTAATTCTGTAGCATCCCAATCGGTTACTGTTTTTATACTTTGTGATACTATCTGCGAAAATCTTGATTTCTTCTTCTGTATTTTTTGTTTCTGTTCTATAACTATTTTCTTTGCAATAGCAGAAAAATTCAAAACATTCTGGGTTTCTATGTACAAGTTCGGTAAAGGATTGATGTTCACTATCAGAGCTATATGTTCTTTACCAGAAAGTGCTTTCTGAAATAGCCTAGTTAGTTTTGATTCTCTAAATGGACCGACATGTTCTATTTTTTGTTTAGACAACTGTCCATCGTGAATTGCTTTTAGACATCTTCGTAATACCAACAGACTTGTATTAATATTCTGTGCTTCTTTCAATCTATCTCCGATATTTGATGTTTTCTTTAAACGTTCTGAACCAGCTAAATCACAAAAGGCAAATCTGTAATATTTGTAAGAAACATTATATATAACAAAACTGGATACTGGCACAAAAATTATATTACAAAGAAAATATTATTCACGTACGTGCTAACTTCAACAGAATCGGAATCATTCTCAACATAGTACTTCAATAATTTAATAGTGAATATACAATGAGATCTCGAGCTTCTTGCGTTTAAAGCAGTTGCAGCTACTTTTAAATTATACTGTCCAGCCATTAAAACCTGATACGCTTCAGAACCGGAATTGACGCAAACAGCCTTAAGACCTTTGATGAATGCCCTACCCTGTACATCTGTAGCTAATTTGAGGGATGTTCTCTTTTTCTGAGTCTCGTTTGATAACAGATCATATACAATTTCATTATAAATTTCTGCAAAGGACACCCAAACAGAATAATGTGCATCAACACAC